CTACTGCTACTGCTACTGCCACGATTACTACAAATACCAGTACTAGTTTTAGAACTACCCGTAGTTTTTATCAAGTGCATTCATGACATCACTACTGTATTGTGGCAAAGACGACAGCCATAGGTACCATCGGTGGCACCGGCAGGTGGAGGAAGATTGATCAACAGCGTTAATCAGACACGACTGGTCTATAGATTGGATAGGATCAGTTCTGTCCCTGCTTCCATTAGACGACTACTGCGATGGTGCGACGGTACCACTACCTGATACATTTCCGATGTTTCAGAATAACCATTACTCAGAACACCGGGGCAATACCCACCTGCCAGGCTACCTGGCGCTTCATCCAGCACCCTGCAAGGCGGGTTGTTGGTGCTACTTACACCTGCCTACTGTAGCACAATCTGAAGGTCTTCTCGGCTCGCCCAGGCCTTAGTTCAGTTTGTTAACGGTTGTCAGGTGACTTGTTCTAACACTGGAGAAGAGGGTTGAACCTGTGTATCCTGCGAGTTGTTTGGGCGGGACGCCTTGTCCGGCAATGCCAGTCCTGACAGTATCAACGTCGTGCCAGCTCCGGTGAGAGGGTTGGAAGACCACGCCAAGTTCTGCAGAATTGTCGTGCATTATACACGATACATACATATGCACATGCATATGTGCTAGTTGGTCTATGCTTGCGAGGCGTGTTGCTGATTTGTTTCGTCATTGCGTGCTCACTGCTTAGTTGGGACCTGTATGCTCGGTTTCGGGACACACGAACCGTAATGGACTAGGTGGCAATTCAGGCAATTATACTTAATTCTAAGCGCTTCGCGTCGTCCGCCTCGGCCCGGCTGCACATTAAAGCAGTTGCGTTGTTACGGAAAGCAACAGGTAGGTCACACAGGTGAGGGATTGAGTGCATGAGTGTAGTTGCTTCAGAATGTTTGATGGTGTCAGTATTGGTTTTCATGCTGAGGCTCTGAGCAATAATCCCACGCGGAAGGTGGCAGATTCCCTGCATTATCCCATATAGACTCAATCTAGACGATACTATAAACTACAAACACCATATTGCACTTCTCACACTAGGTCTCGTAGACGATCTCCCGTATGTTGGAAGGGGAATCAAGCTTTGCAACGAAGTACAAGGCACCAGCCTGGGAGAATTCCCAGGCTTTGGCAGCAACTTCACGAACGATGTAAGCTAGCCTGTCTTGCCTCGCCGCAAGACAGAGACGAGGGAAGCGGGGGGGCATGATGTTCTGGAAAGTAAAACGGGGTGGGGGGGATCCCGCAGACAAAACTGCCCAAATGGGGGCGTGTGCTCCCGGCATACCACTTCCGCCAGAAGAATTTCCGGACGTAGGGGTTGCTAAGGGAGGGTGGGTCGCCGGGGGATTAAGAGGTGGGGAAGCCGAGAATCCTGTGAGACCCTAGACCGCTTCGGCCGAGGCCGAGGCGAATTTCCCGCAGATGCTGTTTCCGCACCGATACCGTTCAAGACACGGCGGAGAAGACGAGCAAACACTAAGCTGTGCGCGGAACATTTAGAAAACCAGCACTGATCGGCATGTTGCGTGTCTGTAAGTTTAATGAAGCATGTGAGCGCGCAAGTGCGTGAGTAAGCAACGAAGTTAGTCTTTGTGCTTTCGTCTCTGCTTCCACAATTCTACACGTACGCTTAAACGCATGCGTATAGCATAAGGACGTCTAAGTTCTAGCAGATTACGGCGTTACTCCGTCTTTTGGTCCAACAGCGAGTCACTGGCTGTCTAGACGGGCAGCAGGTTTGATCGAAGCGGTCCTCCATTGCTGCCCAGTGCCAGGAGATCCTGAAGTTCCTTTCCTTGCAGCACCTTCCATCGATCTTGCCGTTGAAAGAGGCCGAAGTAAGAGTTTCAAGCTTGCGTCTTAAAGGTTCGAATTTGAGGGGCAGGAGTTGTCTTTTTCGTAGCGTCTCCACCGGTTTGTGCCAATCAGCCTTTCTCGCAGGGGTTTGCGGCTTGCGGCCGTTGCATTGCTGCGTTGCTCAGAGCCCAACATCCTCTTGCCACTGTTCTGGATTGTGCTAGCTCTGTCATTATGGGCATGGGTTCATGGTTAGTATGGTTCTGATAGCAAGATATGCCTGCCATGCAGTTTTCCAGTCAACCATTTAGTCTTCGATCTTGCCCAATCGAGCCCCCTTAGCCAGCAGGCTGAAGCCCTCTGAAGAGCTGATCACTGAATGCTAAAGGCTAAAGGCATGCAATCAGAAAGCGCTGCCAGGGCTCCGAGAAGGATATGAAGAAGTATTGCGAGGCAGGACGTATTCAAATGCTCCTTCATCCATCGTTTTTTGAAGCGCATCGCCTTGTTCTAGTCGGTTTCTGTCACGTCTGTCTAGGTTCGCGGATCGCTTGTCTGAAGCCTTCTATATTTCCGCTGGTAACCTGACTCCTGGAATCGTATGCGTGTCAGGTATGTGTGTAAGTAGGTACGTGGGTATGCATGCATGCATGTCTGTCTGTCTGTCTGTCTGTCTGTCTGTCTGTATGTATGTATGTATGTATGTATGTACGTCTGTTAGGTAAGGAATGTAGGTAATTTGTAGAATGTATTTTTTGGCCCGGAATGTATGGAATGTATGTCTGTATTATGTATGCACGCATGCTTGGATGCAGTTGTAGATGAAAGGCTGCATGGGTGTATGTATGTATGTATTCATGTATGTATGTATGTATGTATGTATGTATGTATGTATGTATGTATATATATATATGTATGTATGTCGAGTATATCATATGTGTAAGTATGTAAGTATGTAAGTATGTTTGTATGTAATCATGCATGCATGAGTTGATGGATGGATGGATGGATGGATGGATGGATGGATGGATGGATGGATGGATGGATGGATGGATGGCTGTGTGTATATGTGTCTGTGTTTGTGTGTATGTAGCGTCAGTGATGTTTGTAGTAAAGTAATGTTAAGTGTGTTGTGCATGTGTGCATGTCATTGTAACTGGTTATGCAGGCGCGCCACTACATATGCACCCATGCATGTACCTATACGAGCACGTAACTATATGCGTATGTATGTTTGGTTTGCAAGTCACGTACGTACTGTATGCATGTACAAGGATATGCATGTATGTCTGTATGTAGTGCACTGTTTATACAGGTCGGATTTTTCATGTTACATGTGTTGTTCATGTTATGTAGGGTATGTGTGTATATATGCATACATGTATGTATATATGTATCTGTGTGTATATGTATGTATGCACATGTGTATGCATGTATGTTTGTTTGCTAGTATGTATGCATGTATGTATGTATGTATGTACGCACGACAATATCCATGTTTGTATGTATGCACGCCTCTATCTTGTTTTGCTATATAGAAAATATGTAATTGTATCTATACGTGCATCCATATACATGTATATATATATACAACTTTTACATGTACGCATATATATATATATATAAGCATGTATGTATGCATGCATACATGCATGCATATATGTCTGTATGTATGTATGTATGTTATGTATGTATGTATGTGTGTATGTGTGTATGTTATGTTTGTTGTTTGTGTTATGGTTGTTGTGCATGTGTGGTAACTGTGTCATGTTATGGTAGTGGGCAATTGGTGGTATGCTTTGTGTGCGTGTGTGTGTGTGTGTCTGTTTGCCTGTCTGTCTCTCTATATGTTTGTCCGTCTGTCCTGTCTGTCTGGTTTTGTGTTTGTATGTGTGTGTTTGTGTGTACCTATTCAGTTTTTATGTGCATATGTATGCATGTGCGTGTGTGTGTGTGTGTGTATGTGCATGCATACGCCTATGTTTATGTGTATGTGTGTGTCCCTAAACGCTAAACCCGAAACACTCATGTGTACCGTATGTGAATGTGTATAGCATGTGGCTGTGTGTGTGTGTATGTATGTGCGTGTGCGGATGTGTACGTTTATGTGCATGTGTTTGTATGGCTGTATGTTCGTATGATTTTGTACGCATATAAGCTTGTCTTCCGTACATGTAGAAAGATAGACATACAGACAGACACACACACACACACACACACATATATATATATATATGTATGTATATATATATATATATGTATATATATATATACATACACATGCTTACCCCGCCCTTCGAAGCCTGCCTCGAAGCTTCTTTTCCTTTGGCCTCATCAGACTCTGCGTAAGAGTCCCTAGCTTTAATTTTCACTATGCAGCAAGCTATCCGAACACAAAGAACCAGTTCGAGTGCAAATAGTCAGACTAAGCATTGCCTGCAGCCCCTTTACTACTAGTCGTAATTACCCAACATTGCCTACAACCCCTCAGAACACAAATAATCATGCTATATGTTGTCATATTACTAATTTCACTACGCATTGGCTGTAACCCTTCAACACAAATACCAACCACAGAAACAAGCATGCTAAGTATTGCCTCCGGCCGTCATCACAACGCATCATCACCTCTTCACAGTCTGCATCACCAACTCTATTTGTAATGGAACTGTCATGGCAATCCGGATCGTCAGCGTTATTTCCCGAATACATGCCACACCGTCCAAACACGAATAAGAGTGCCAAGTACTGCCTATAACCCTTGTATTATCATCCAAGCACAAGAATGGTTTTACAAGTACAGTAAACCATCGATGTCGATGTTGATTCCTGGCACATTGCCGGACCCTTACTTATGCTATACAGCATTAAATCAATTGCAGTTTCAGTTTTTGTGATAGCCCTCATCACAATTGCACGAGATCCGGTGTCATGTTGAAAAGTTCATCCTCTTATGCAATGCCAAAACCGTCAATCAGGCCCCAGTTGTAAGGACGTGAATCCACGTGGAAACATCAAACAAATTACCATCTCGTGTAGTTGGCAAGCGCTTTTTCGATAGCATTTCTACGTACCACACACAAGTAAAAGTTGTGAGAGCAATATATACGTACCACTTACATCCACTTACAGGTCCGTCTAGTATTAAGCTTATGTGTGCGAATATTCGTCAGCTATCAAAGTCTTCTAGTGTTCGCGTTTTCTGAGAAGCATGCGGGTAATATTTGACCTGTATTTCAGGTAGTCGTATTAGCTACTAGGTTAGTACATGTGTAGCTAACACCAGCGTAACTGTTCTTTCAACGTCTGGTTGACAATCGAAGCTAGTTACGTCACTGTGCTATCGGTTGTTTTCTTGCAGGGGGATTCTTCGTCGAAAAATGACAGTACAGTATACTCCCAAATGCAGCGCACCTACCGACCACAACATTTATAATCAGTTAGATTAGATATTAGAGGAAAGGTTCAGGACTACTGAACGATTTATTCATTGCAGCCGTGATTGATCTGTCATTTTGGATTGCAATAATGTACCTTCAAAGAAAAAGACATTTTGCATATTGCATCTTTGCTGGGAATTATGTTTCAATCGAATTGTGTTTTGAAGGCAATATGATGATATTGTTGTATCGTCATGCCACATGATGTGTCTCGATACATGAAGGATGTGTATCTGATATAGATCCAGCGATTCTATTGTATAGTTGTGTCGAGCTCATTTGCTTTATTATATGCTCTGGTACTAAAGATCTTGGTCTATAGGAATATGTTGGAATTGTAACTACATACTAGATAGGTACACGGACCCTAAAGGATACTGTGTGCACACATCTATTACATGTTCTCATGTCTGGTACCGCCCACAAGGGAACCAGGAGCCCTGTCGTGTGATTGGCAAAAGCTTCTTGATGGCGTGGCAGTCGTGCATGTTTCACTACCTATATGCGAGAGTTTATGTCTACTCAGAACTTGTACCATGCGTTGTTGATGTATGATAAAAGAGACTAATGTCTAGCAACGTAGGTCATTGCAAAAATATCGTAATCATTCACAGCGTACATATCAATAAAGATACTGAGTTAACCTTGAATTGTACGTAATTAAGCCTGCCCGGGACCAGAGATCAGAGATCGGAGATGCAATGGAATAATTTTCCGGAGCTGCTCTGTGGTCCCGGGTCGGTTTCAGTTTGAACACTGGTCTATATTGAATTTAACCGCAACCCATCCGGGTCCAGAGATCAGAGATGCCACAAGATGAACTTTCCTAGGATTGCGCTAAATTCATTCCAGATCGTAGGTCAGCTTTCTGCACGACCACTGAGACTTCGTAAAAATCCTGTACAGTGCTCACTGCACAATGACTTCATGTTTGGAAGGCTTTGGCTTGCGATGCAATGAAGATGGTGTCGGCCTGAATGTCCACGTTTGCTCGCTGGATTCTTCCAGTCCGTGGTGCCACTTGCTATTAGTGTTCATGTTGGATATGCCCCGTGTGGGCGTCCAGCATGTGCGACATCGAACGCATGAACCATGCACCTTCTGAGACTGTCTATAGCCAGGAGTCACCAGAAGGTTAGGTGGCTAGAACGGTTCATAGTTGTTGCTGTTGCTGCCATTCTTCCTTCCGGTAGGTGGTTAGGCTTGAACCCATCTAACAGCATCTATAAGTTCTGCACACGCACTGACAAGGTCATGACTGCTGCACGCAAGACCATCGTGGCTTTGGAGGGCGGAACATTGTGGCAAGAAGCTGTCACGGCGGTGATCAACTTGGTTCCGGCGCTCGGTGTTCCTGTTGTTTCTCGTCATTTCTTCTTGGTTGCAAATTCGTACATGAGTTTGCCCAGATCTATCGTGCCACGCGGGGCCTCGTGCCTGCACGGAGGTCGCTGACAGCCGCTTGAACGTCGACTGCCGTGCGCAGCTGGTGTTCGGCATCGGCCAAGTGCTTTCCGTGCTGACTGCCGGGTCCTCTGACGATCCCATGGTGCTAGCCGTGAAATCTCATGGCTCATGACTGTGGCATGCAAAGTGCAGAGGGGAATTCTGAATGACTGACCGATCAACCTTTCGGCCCTAACTGCTTCTCCTTTGTCGCCTTTTGCCACTAGTGTTATTTAACCATGCCAATGTGAAGGACTGGAACGACCTGGAGCATGCACTCAGTATGTTCGTCTCCCGAATGGAAGGGTGCGGGCCTTATGCCCAAAGCATGACTAGGGAAAGCGGCTGTGACTCGATCTATAGTTGCAGCAGTACTACTGCGTATCGAGCTCCGGACATCACTTCTGTGTGCTCATGACGCTGCATCGAGGCCCATCCAGCCAATACTTACTGCGCTGCCAGCGGAGCCGCTACTTCCTGGCAGTTGGTGACTGATTGCACGGCAGATTGTTTGTTGACACAGAGTCATGTCATCCAGGTCCTGCTCGCCAGCTCTGTATACTGTCGGGGCTCGGTTTACAAGCAAAACCGGCCACGGAACAGATAAGTCCGAAACGGGTCAAGATCGTTGTGAAGCTGGAAACCAGTGGACACTCTAGTTTAGATTCTAAATATCGTCGTGCTCGAGATCCATGTTGGAATTCCATTGGGGGACGATGACAACTGCACTGGTGCCATGCATGGCAACCGTTGCCAAGATGTTGCTTCCTTGACACTTGCCGTTCATAGCTTCTCGACCATCCTGTGTCTTTGTTGAACCGTAAAATCCAACCACTGCTGTCAGAGTATTGACGCCATGCCGCCTTGTATTGTTGTCGTAAATGCGGCTAACCTGCTCCTCAATTCGCACTGCAGTGTTTAAGACTACCGATGACCATAGATTCAGCGCAGGCTGGGCAGCCGTGCGGTTTTCCTGGCCTGTTTGTCGCACTCGTCTATGATCCTAGCTCTGAGACTGATAGCTTGATAGAGTGGGGATTGAAGTTTCGATCGGAAAGGATGGAAGGTTATCCCACTGTTTGCTAATGCACGGACTGCAAACCTGAATTTCAGGTGATCTGACTTATTAGCTTCTCGCGCGTGCGCGCGCGTGTGCGTGTGTGTGGGTATGCGTGCGTTCGTACATGTGTGTGTGTGTGTGTGCGTGTGTTCGCGTGTGTTTGTGTGTGCATGTGTGTTCGCTTTATGTTTTTGCTGGTCTGCTGATTTTTCATTCCCGCTTTCCCGAAACATCCGAATGCGTCCAAAACGGGATGATGTTGCAGTCTTGGAGAGTACTAGAAAAACGACATGTGTTGTCTACTAGCAGCAGCAGCAGCAGCAGAAGCAGCAGAGCATGCACATTTCTGAGAAGAAGAGGTTTCAGAATTTGCATCTGGCATAGCTATGCAGTGTCGATCGGACCATGTGCGTATATCTTGCACAACACATGCAGGGACAATCGTACATGCATGCATACATACATACCTATACTTACACATGTAGGACCTACGCACATACTTTTTATAGCAATGCATTATACATGATACACTACATCACACTATACAGTATACACACTATGCCTATGCAATATGTGACGTTGCATTGCATTGATTACCTACATCGTGTTCTCGTTTTCGTTTACGTTTACATGCGCATACACTACATGTGGTCATCACATCGCATGCATGCATGCATACATGCGCAAACGCATACACGCATCCATCAACGCATGCCTGACTTCAGCCATGTGTCCATCCGCAGCTGGAGCAGGAGTAGAAGTAGCCGGCGTAGTAGTAGTAGTAGTAGTA